GTGAGCACGGAAAACTGCAAAAGATGGATTCAGACAATCGGAAATAAAACAATTTAATAATAATACTAGTGACGAGAAGGGAGATAAAGACACTGCCACCGACAACAGGCTGCATAGAGGCGTGGACGCGGTGTCCCTGAAAGAAAGTCGCTTGAAACAACCTGTAATTTTCATCAAAATACAAAGACATTGTTACTGTACTACACTCCAATACTCCTTTCGACCCGTCCTGGGGGGCCGTATGGGTGACCCGGGGGGCCGATGCTGCGGCGGTGATGAGGGTCCGGGGAGGACTACGACAGGTCCACACGCATGAGCTGACCCGGGCGAGTTCATCATCAGACTCAAGGTGTTTTCATTACACAACCGCGCCCACCTACCTCAACCAGTCAAGAAGAGGAGGTGTGTGTAGCGCGGGGTGGTCCGTGGTCCGGGGGGCGCGGTGGGGCGGGGGTGGGGTGGGCCGCCGCGGTGAGGTAGGGCGGGGCGGGTTGGGTCGGAGGACTTTATTACGAGCAGCACGCCCTCGCCTCCTCCCCGCAGCGGGACGAACGCGCTAGACGCGCCACTGACAATCCACGTAGCCGCAGAGCGAAATGCACACGCGTCCGCAACCGCAATATAAAAAAAATAAGAAATAAAAGTCGGAATAATTTTTCAGTGTTATTTCCCCGAGCAGATATTAAAACCGGCGCGTGAAGTGGGGCAGGGCGCGGGCTGCTGCGCGGGGGACGAAAGGGGGAGCGGCAGACAGTGAGCAAGCAAGAGCGTTTGTGGAAAACAAAAGAAAAGGTTTCCCAGAGAGAAGCGTAATTGGTTTGTAGGATATGGCCGTATAGCCCATAGCCAAATCATGTATCAGCCATCAATTGAGTCGTCGTCACCCCCTCCCCCCCCCCACACACACACCTTTTCAACGTATATCCACTACCTGGAACGAACCGTTGACCCCCGCCAATAATATGACTGCTGGGGGTCCAGGTGATCACACGCTACTGTCCTACCCCCC